AGAAGGGATGATAATGCTGGACTCACCTGGCTGTGTGGGTGTGAGGATTACATTCAATTTCTGAAATAACACACAGAGGCTCCTTGGGGAGCAACTGGACCTGGTGGCTCCATTGGGCAGGGAGAGGGCGTGGAGGCAGGAGGGAGCTGCGGAGAGCCCAGCATCACGGCGGGCCTTGTGAGAACTTCCAGTCCTCGTGGGAGAAATAAAGAAATGGAACCTCCACCTCTAGCCCGTGGGCTCACCCTCTCTCCCCAAAGGCACCTCTACGCGCTGCTCTCTGGGACGGGAAGCTTCTCAGGGCAGGAACCTGACGGCCTCAGTGTTCTGGGGCTTGCACTCAGCAGAAGCTTAATGAGTTATCTGCCGGATGAAGGACCACGGAGTGGACTTGAGGTTTTTCAGAATCATCACCCATGTTCTCCAAAGCCCACAGACCAGACGGATGCTGGGCTAGACAAAGGCTCAGGACTTTAAAAACTTAACCCTCAGAACCGTTACCTGGCAGGTTCCGCAGCCCCAGGGGAAACCGAGGCTCCGGAAGCTGAGCTCCCCAGCTGGAGCCCCGCTCCTCTCTCCAGGGCTGCTGTCAGCTCTTCCCTTTTTCCTGCCACCTGCCTTCCGCGTAATTAAGTGATAATGAATTCCTTTCCCCATGTTTGTTACTTATCAAAGCCGGGTGGAGCTGTCAATCAGAACCTCTGTTCAGCAAGAGAAAAGGGTTTTCATGTTGGGTTCCTGTCACTCGGCCTGAGCCCAGCAGCCCCGTGGGGGGTGAGTGCAGGCAGCCAGGGGCTTTTGTGGTGCCACCTTGATGACAGCCCAGACAATCAGCACTGGGGCTGGGGATGAGGGCGACAGGAACTTACTGCTGGTGCCAAGCACTGGGTTACGTACTACATCACAACCCTGTGAGGTGGGTGCTGTTCTCCCTGTGCTAGGGCGAGGAACTGAGGCTCAGAAAGGTTTCCGTGTCCTGCCCCAGGGCCCCGAGCTGGGATTCAAACCCAGGCCTGCAGAGTCCAAAGGCCCTGCTCTTAACCACTGCACCACACTGTCTTCCAGGAAGGACGCCGGGAGGTACGGTGAGCTGCAAGGGTCTGAGCAGGGGAAAGGAGGGGAGGGCAGGCGGGAAGGGAAGAGGTGTGCAGGAGGGAAGCCTGCCTCTCTGACGCAAGGGGTCATGAGATGAAGTGGCTGGGACGAGGCTGGGTGAGGCAGGGAACTAGGGCATCTTCCTCGGATTCCACAGCCGGTTCACAATTACATGGCTGCCTGGTCACCGGCAGGTCTCGGCTTACAAACCTCTGCAGAGTCCCATGCAGGCTGCTGCCAGCCCAGAGGGGCCCCCCTGAAGTTCTCTGGGGCCACACCATTCCCCACTTGCCTGGTGGGTTCCAGAGACAGCCCTGGGTGGGTGGGCAGAGGGTGGGCTAGAGGGGGTGGACGCAGCCTGAGGCCGCACAGGGAGGGAGGACTGATTGTTCCGGCTCCACTGTGACAATGTGTCCACGTGCTGTCACTGTGCCAGTTCTGTACGTGCGTCATCTCTATCCCCGCTGTCCAGACAAGGGTGCTCTGGTTCAGCCACTGAAAACCTCCTTGTGCCCCCAAGCAAATCACGACACCTTTCTGGGTCTCAGTTTCCTCTTCTGTAAAATGGGGAGAAGGTCTGTCCCTGCTGGAACCTGCCTGGCTGGGGCGTGAGATCAGTGCTGGTGGCGGAGAGCCCAACTACCCCGCCCCCGACTCCCCCAGCTCCCTAGGCGGCACTGCTGGCGACACTGAATGCAAGCACTGGAAGACCCTGGAAGGCAGCTCTGCCCGCCAGAAGGGTTCAGGACCCCTCAGAAATGAGGTCACTGCCGAATCGCCTCTGGGAATCAGAGAGCCTGCCCCTTCACAGATGGGAAGACTGAGGTCCAGGGAGGGCAGGCAGACTAGTAACTCAGGGGCAGAGCCAGGGCAGATGCCCAGGCTCCCAGCTCCCTCTGACCTTCCTCTCCTGCAGCGGGCTCTGGTGGGGGGCTTCCCGGAGGGCCGGACTCCCTCCTCCCTGCCTGGGGAGCTGGAGAACGCGGCGGAAGTCTCTGGGCAGAGCCCTGGCTGTAGTCCTCAGGCCCTGCTTGGACCCGCGGGGTTGCAGCCCCACTTAGACAGCAGAAGCGGAACGGGTTTTGTCCTCCAGGAGAGCCTGTCTGTTGGCTGTTCACAGCCACTCTCGGCAGGGCTGGGCTCGGCGGGCACAGTGAAGCCTTGTTTCCTTGAATACAAAATCTGCAGCTCTGCACTGAAGCCAGGGCCCCGGGCGGGCAGCACTTCCTTCCCTAGAAGTCCAGCTCCCTGGCCCCTTCCTGCCCCCTCACCCCTCCCAACGCCCCAGCAGCAAGCAGTAGTTGTGCCAAGAGGCAGCTTGCAAGGGTTCACCCCACCAAGTCTCCATCACAGTCCCCCTCAAACACACACCAAACAGCCTCTGTAAAAAGTAAACTTGTTCTGCAAATGCAGGCTCGAGACCATCCCCCCGCCCCAATCATGTGCCCCTTGCAGTCCAGCTGCAGCCTCCCAAGTCCTTGCTCGGTGGCGGGGTGCCTGGGCTCCCCCAAACAGCTCTGGCTTTTTTTTTTGGCGGGGGTAGGGGTGTTGTGATAGCCTGAGAAGGAGGGCTCTGGAGGAAGGAGCGGCCGGAGGTGGGTGGGTCTACGAGGCAGAAAATCACCCCTGAACATGGATGGGGGTGCGGGGGGAGTGTTTTCCCCCATGGAAGCAGATGGCTGTGACTGGAAACCCGGAAAGGAAGAAAATGGGGTTTGGAGTCACAGATCTGGGTTCAGATCCTGACACGTTACTTCTGTGCCCCAACTCCCCAAGTGAGCCATGGGAACGAGGATGGTTCTGTCATGGGGTTGCCGGGAGGAAGTCAGGGAGCTCCTTACTGCCTTGGTACTAGTGACACGGGGATTTTGTCTGCTTTGAATAAGCTCCCCTGCACTCCCTGGGTGGGCTCTACAAGGAAGGTCTAGAGACAGTGAAGCTACACCTGTCCTGGGCCCAGGGAACTTTCTATCTATTCCTGCCAGAATTTTGGAAATGTTCACCTCCTGGAAATCCCGGAACCTTCCTCCCTGGGAATCCTGCTCTCCTGACTGTGGCCGTCTTCGGCTGGGAAGAAACTTTAGAACTCCCAATAAGGCCTGGGAGTCAAAGAGGCAGCCTCTTTGGGACTTGCATGCAAAGGCCCAGGGGGGAGTCAAGGAGTGTTTTCCCCAGGCTCGCCCCTGGAAAAGTGTGGGGCCCCCAGCCATCCAGGGCTGGGAACCAGAAACCTCTTCCCCTGCGTGGCTGGGGCCAAATGCAGAAGCAGCAGCTGCAAGTGCGAGAAGTAGGAAGAGCCTTTACCAAGCTCGGGGTTGCAAAACACCACCTTCTTGGGCTTCCTGCTTGCTGGCTGGACAGCCAGCTGTCTGTGGATGAGTCACACACAGCACCAGCCTGCTCCACCTCCCGTCTGAGGCAAGGTGGGCCCAGCACCCCTCCTTGGCCTTGGGCTGTTTGTCCCAGGGCACAGAAACCTCCTGACTCCTCCACACTAGACTCAGCCTCTGCATAGTTTCACCTCCTCCCAGATCCACTCCAGACCAGTATTCCTGGGCTGTGTCCCCTCCAGGGCCAAGGGCAGGACAATGGACAACAGGAAGCAGGAAGGGTACCAAAAGGAAGGGGGCTGCGCACCTCTAGCCTCCCCTCAACCCTCAAACGTGGCTGGAGGGGAGTGTGTTTGACCATCTCAATCCCAACTGGGTTGACCCAGGGATGGACCAGAGGGGACCTGGAGCGCTTTCTCTCTAGTCCTTCAACAGAGATATTAAGGGAGTTTTTTTGGGGGGGAAAGGCTGAGCCTACCCACCTTGGGGTGCCTGTCCAATCTGCTGAGAACCCAGAGTGTGGAATTATATGGAGTAAAGTTAGGGGTGAGAGCAACTGGGAAGTCAGGAAGGTATGGGGCATCTGGGACCCTGTGTGGGGAGGGAAGGGGGCACACAGTAGCAAGGAGGGGCACAGGAGAGGGGTGAGGAGAGATGGGGCCCTCTAACAGGAAGCAGGGGTGCAATGACTGCAAAGCTGCTGGGTGGGTGGGGAGGTGAGGGTAAGAGGAGGGAGGGGCAGTGTGTGGGGAGAGAAGGGGACTGAGCCCTTAAGATAGATATGAGGGGCAGGAGGTTGCACATACCTGTCAACTTGGGGGCAGGGACTGAGGGGTCCCTTCTTAGGGAGACCACCTGAGGGTCAAGGTTGGGGGTCCTGGCTAACAGAGTGGGTGGGGTTGGGGTGGGAGGGGCTGAAGGGTGTTTGACCATAGTTTGCTACCAGATGCTGATAACTGCAGGGGTACAGTGGGGTGGGATCTGAGAGGCAGAAGAAATGAAGAGACCCCAAGGAAAGAAATGTGTGGACCATGGGGTGCTGGGAATGGTCACCTTTGTTGAGGCTCTGGGAGGGGAGGTGTTTGTGACCAGCCGGTCTTGGGGTGGGGATTCGAATTTGAGTAGCTTGTTGGGGGCGGAACAGAGGCCACGGGAGTCCTCAATCTCGGTGAGGGGTGCCGGGGGAAGGGTCACTAACAGGGCAGGGTCCTGAGCCAGCGACCTGGAGTGTTCAGAGCCACGTAAGTGGTGGTAGTGGGGCTCGCCGGGACCGGTGATTATCTAGAAGGAGCCCCGGGTCCCCCACTCCTTGTGCGTGCGTATGGTGCACTGGGGGCGACGTCACCCAGCAGAGAGGTCGCGAGCTAGGGGCTGGGGATCCCCAGACCCATTGCCTGGTGGAGTGGAGGGTTCCGCAGCTCGTGATTATCTGGAAGAGGCCGCAGGGTCCCCACCCCTGGAGTGTCAGGGCTCGGGGGAGCTGGGCTGGCGGCAGGGGTCCCGGGGCGGCGCGGGGTCCGGGGTTTGGGGCCCGAGGCCGGCGGGTGGGCTGGGGGGGGGGGGGCGGGCACTCACTGCTTGAACATCTTCTCCATGTCCTTGATTTGCTTCCTGGAGAACTCCTTGAACTCGGTGTAGGGGTTGAAGATGCGGCGGCTGGGCGACTGGGGCTCGCCGATGCCCTGGTTGAGGTCGGCGCGCCGCAGCAGCTTGGCGCTCAGCTCGTCGTCCGCGCTGCCCAGCGCCTCGGCCGCCTCGTCCTGCGCCCCGGCCGCCGCCGCCGCCGCCCCGTTCAGGCCGGGCTGCTCCGGGGCCTCGTCGCCGCCCTCGCCCTCCATCTGCAGCCGCCGGCTCAGCTTGCTGGCCAGCTCGTCCGTGGCCATGGTGGCCCGCGCGGCGATCGCGTCTGCCGGGCCCCTGCTCGCCGCGCGCCCGCACCGCCCGCACCGCCTCTGGCCGCGCTCTTCCTCTTCCTGACACTCCCCGCGCCAGGCGCCGCCCCCGGGGGTGGGACTTGCGCCCCTCGGGGCCCGCCCGCTCCCCGCCCCCGCCCCGGCCCTGCGCGGGCTCGGAGGCGTGCGCCCAGCCTCGAGCGTGCTGGCGGCGGGGAGCCCCCGCCGTCCGCCCCGTGAGGCAGGGGTCCTCGTAGAAATCCGCCCCCGTCTCCATTCTCAGGCGCCGGCCGAGCGGGAGAGGTCGGCTGGGGGCCCAGGACCGGGGCGGGAAGCAAGAGGGGCTCCTGCCCTGCAGTCTGGGTGTGGGTCGGGGGTCGGGGGGTCGCCGCCCCCAGCTCCTTCTCTGGAATCTTCACGCGGTGAAGTCCTAATCCAGTGTCCGTGACACCCTGTCGGTTGTCATGGAGACGACTCGTAATTACACTGGTGGTGTCATCGGGGGTTGCATGGGTATGGAGAAGGTGGACCCGGCAGGCCGGAGCCCCCAGTTTAGATTTAAACACAGCGAAGCTGCCACATCTTTTGGAAGAGGGTGGACCAGCGGCTGCGAGGGAGACGGGGCTAGGCCTCAGCTCAGAAAGGTGCTCGGAGACAGGGAGAAGGGGCTGGTCCTCCCCCTGGCCCTGCACATCACATGGATGACTTGGCAGAATAGGTGCTGGGCCACGGTGTCGCCTGTGACTCTGCTTTCGGGAAATCGGCAGGGTGATCTTGATGCTGCCATTTCGGTGAGGGCCCAGAGGAGACGTCCTCTCCAAAGGCTCATGGGACGGGGTGTCTGTCTATGGTCTGGCCTGTCACCTTCAAACTTCAGAGCTGTAGTCCTCCAGCAAAAGACACCTATGGCGAGGTGGTGCTGGTTAATAATCAGAGTCCCTGCCTCTCGGGGGCAGGGCCTGGAACTGTGCATTTTGACAAGCACCCAGGGGAGTTCTATTCACTGAGAATCACTAATCTGGAAGGTGGACTGTGCTTTGTATTTACTCTCTAAAATGTTAGGAAGATGCTGAAGACCCCTTTGCAGAAACTCCTCCCACTAGTCCAGGTACAGAGAAAAGATGAACAGGGCTTAAAAAAAATAATGCTGGAGGCAGAGAAGCACCTGAGAAGGTAAAGTCATCAGCTGTTACAAAGTGATCTGCACGCTCTGGCCAGCTTGGCTTAGTGGTTGGAGCATTGGCCTGAGGACCAGAGTCCCAGGTTCGGTTCCCACTAGGGGCACGTACCGAAAAAAAAAAAAAAAAAGTAATAATAACAAAGTGATTTGCACAAACTGACCCTCAATTGATATTTGTCGATTTGCCATAGTTTAAGAATATTGCTGAATTAATTTAAAAGAGAATGAAATTAGGAAAAAAAACTTCAGCATTCAGAAAACACAGTTTTCATTAACTTATCTTTGAGATTGTTTCTGAATTCAATAAAAATGTTCAGGTTAAATGACATGATTTTGTGTTTTTTTTAAAGCTTGGAATTAAGCTTCTGTCGGTCTCAGGCAGTTTGGCCGAGCTACTTGCAAAGACAGGTTTGCGTACCTCCCACATGTGGCCTGGAAGACAAACTAGAAGTGCACTAGTTTGCTTTTTATTGAATGATTGAGACTGTAAAAATTCTGTCTACAGATGCTCGGGTTTGCCAAATTCTTAGTCTTCCTCACAAAGCAGCTAATTGCTTTAAAAAACCCCAAAAAACTGATGAACCTCAACTTGCTTTAACCTATGATTTATAATGAGTCTGCAAGAAATAGGGCTGCCTTTATTGTAAAATGCTTTGAACTATGCTTGATGTGGGAGCAAACTTAAAAAAAAACACCAAAAAACCCAAGGATATTTCTCATTTAGCTCCAGATAGAGTGTGAGGGAGAGGGGGGAGAGAGAGAGAGAGAGACATCGGATTGGTTGCCTCCCACACGACCCCAACCAGGGCCAGGGATCAAACTGCAACCAAGGTATTTGCCCTTGACCGGAATTAAACCTGCGACTCTTTGGTCCGAGGACCGACGCTCTAACCACTGAGCAAAAATCGGCCAGGAGGTGGGAGTAAACTTTTAACAGGCAAGAGATTGTGTGAGGGTTTGTGTTCTTAGAAAACAACTTACATATGTGTGAAAAGTCTGTTTATTGTGAATTATTCACAAGGGCTGTATGTATTAAACGCCCCGTCAATTACCCATTTGCCTTGTGTGGACACCACTCTCGGGAGTCAGGGCGGCTCCACGGTGTGCAGGTTGGGGAATTTCTGATCATCACCTCTTGCATCTTGTAAAAGGGAAGTGGAACACCAGGACTTGCTGTTATACGCAGGCAGAGCTCAGGAAATGCTGCCTGGAAGGGCGAGCTCTTTTAATGCCTGGGGTTGATTTTCTCACAGGGTTTTAATTTTTTTTCTTCCTTTATTGATTTTGGAGGGAGAGGAAGGGGAAGGGAGAGAGAGATGAAACATCAATGAGAGCGAACACTGATTGGCCGCCTCCTGCATGCCCCCCACTGGGGATGTGGTCGTGACAGGGAATCAAACCGGCGACCTCTTGGTGCAGGGGTCGAAGCTCAACCACGGAGCCACACCAGCTGGGAGGCTCTCTGGGTTTGAGAGTTCTGAGGGTCTGTGACTACAGGAGCTCAGGCTGCCCAGTGCTCTGCCCCATCTGCAGCCTTGGGCTTGGGCTCTGCCTATAAAAAATAACTGTTGATCTGCTCTAAAGCCAGAGATGCCTGTTGGGGGCTGCATTTTATTTGAACATTTTCCTTCTGAGGCTATTGGACTTCAGGAAAAGCACTTCTTTAGAAACCACAGGAGTGGCGAAGAAAGGAAAAGTGAGAATAACTGCTGAGTGCCGATTAGATTGTGAAACTCCCAGGAACCGCTGCTTGCCTGTCCATCAGGGAAATCACTTGTGAATGGCCCTGGTGCGGCGCCCCAAGCGTGGATTTGGGCAGAGAGAACCGATCTGGCTGGTTACGCATTACAGCATTCGGTCATGTGGAAAGAATGATCTTCAGGAAAAATCACACCCTCGGCAAAGGACTTTACAGAGGCGGGGCAAGCGAGAGCCAATTCTGACAGTGTCCCGGCGTGGAGGGAGCGAGGCTGACTTAGTCACCAGTGACTTCTGTTTCTCTTCTTCCTCCCACAACTACTTGTGTAACTGTCTTTTGGGGAGAGGTAAAGTCGTATCAAAAACACACACACACACACACACCCCCTGGCTGGTTTGACTCAGTGGTAGAGCATCAGCCCGTAGACCAATGAGTCGTGGGTTCGATTCTGGCCAAGGGCACTACCTCTGTTGCGGTTCATCCCCGGCCCTGGTTGGTGTTGTGCGGGAGGCAACCAGTCAATGTGTCCCTCTCACGTTGATGTTTCTGTCTCTCTCTCCCTTTCTCTCCCTCCCACTCGATCTGAAAGTTAAATAGAAAATATTCTCGGGTGAGGATTAAAACACACACACACACACACACACACACACACAACAGCCCTTTGAAAAAGAGGGGGGAGAAATGCAGGGGTTGGGGAGAGCTCTTGGGGGATGGGACAGATGGAATGAATGTAGAGGGTGTTTCAGAGCCTGACAGAACTGGGTGGTCCCTCCACTCGGAGATGCTGGGAAAACCAGAAGGGATTAGGGAGACTGGCCGAGATAAAGTTGGCTCAAAGTGCAGTTACACACTTTATACATACCAGCTTACTAATTAATCACCGCAGACACTCTGGCAACTAGGAACCCTTGATGGATTGAGAAGGTGCACAGAGGTCAAGATTTAGGGACAACCTAGGTATTCATCTGGAAACCGTGCATGCGGGAAGGAGCGAGGCCAGGCAGGTGCCTACGGGACCGCTGAGCGGGGCAGGAGAGAAAGGGCACGATGGGGACAGCGGCAGGTCGGCCCATTTGCAGGTCATCAGAAGCCAAGCAGGCTATCTATAGGGCTCTTTTTGTGGTTATCTTGAATGCGATGAATCTACCTGAAAACGGAGATCACCTTTCAAGTTGGTTGCATATGCTCAACTGGGCAGGCTGGAAAAAAAAGCTGAGTGTGTTTTCTGTTTCTGCTAAACCCCAGGCAGCTCACTGTCTAAGTTGGACAGGCCGCCTGAGTTTTAACCTGTTTTAAACTCTCAAAGAGTTCGTGTGTGTGTGTGTGTGTGTGTGTGTGTGTGTGTACACCTCATGGCTTAAAGCCCGGCAGTGCCGCACCGAGGTGCCCTCTGGGACCCCTTCCAAAGTGGCAATAATATGAGCAGCCAGTTGTGATTTTTATATTACACGGCGGAAGCAGTGTGCGTCCACATCCAGGCAATTGGGCCACGTTTATGAAGTGTGTTGGGCACTGGACTCTGGCCCCGGAATTCTTCTGGTCCTGGGCAGGACTGGGGGGGGGGGGCAGGACTTGGCAGTTTGAAGAGTGAGATTTGTTGGACCCCATACTGAGGGGAGAGGCTACAACTCTTCCTGCTAAATGTCCTGTGGCTGGGACTCAGCTCGTACTACACCCTCGATAAAGCTGCTCATAAAATATCTGACACTGCCCTGGCCGGTGTGGCTCAGTTGGTTGGAGCGTCATCCCGTGCACTGAAAGGTTATGGGTTCGATTCCAAGTGAGAGCATCTACCTAGGTTGCAGGTTTGATCTCTGGTTGGGGCATGTATGGAAGGCAACCAATTGATGTTCTCTCTCACATGGATGTTTTTTTTTCTCTCTCTCCCGTCTCCTCTCAAATCAATAAGCATATCCTTGGATGAGGATAAAAAATATTGGACACCACCATACTCCCCCTACACAACTTCCTGGGGGAAGGCAGCTGTCTCTCCCATTCAACTTTGGCTCCTCAGTGCCCAGCATGGGGTCTGGCCCGGAAGAGATCATTGCTGAATGAATGCAAGATGGCATGCTCTAAGGGCTGGGGACGGACTGGGTGTTTTCTCAGTGTCCCCTCCCG